GCACTTTGTCAGCGATTGCCCCGCGGCACATGCCACGTGGAAGGCGGTGTCTGAAGCACTGGACTGGCCGGACCTGGGCTCCCAGGACTGGAAATCGGTTGTGTCTGGCACAGAACCCGGTCCTCCATTGAAGGGACCCAGGAGGAGGGTGCCCAGGAAGGGGCGGTGGAGAGAGACCACGGCTCCCAAGACGTACTGGACTGTACCGTGGTCCATGATTAGGCTGATTAATCTGTACATTCTGTTGGGGCTGTTGCTCCAATGCCACAGAGTGATAAAGACACAAAAGGTGGCTGACGTGGCCGGCTCGGTTAAATTTGTCCAAGAGAAGATTTTTTGGTTGAGCCGCGAGGAAAAAGGGAGGATGCCGCCCAGTCGGTGGAGGAAATTGTGGCCGTGGTTGAGTGGGGCTCATGCCCCGATCACGTAATGTACGTAAACCGCTCATACATGCAAAATGTTGCTGAGACGCATGGCATGAACCTATCAAGGAGAAGTCTGTAGAACGTTCTTTTTGTAAATTTGATTTGTAAAGCTTGGGAATCCTGTAAATGTGTGTACATTTGGCATTTTGATACCTTGTAAATATTGGATGTGTACTTTTCTATTTTTGTAATGTTGCATTTTTTGTGCCTTTTGTAACTTTTGTAGTATGTTTTTATTTAAATAAAAATTTTCAACCTAAAAAAAAAAAATCAACCAAATTTAGGGTTAAAATTCCACTGCAAATAATTTGATTTTGGAAAAGCCTTCCTTGAGTAGCTTTTTCTGCACAGCTCATCATCTTTGCCCATTCTAAACACATTCCAACCATCAAAACCATGCCAGGACACCTCCTTTTTCTAACCCTAACCCTACCTTGGTGCACAACCCTAACCCTACTATAGGGTTAAAGTTCCATGCAAAGGGTGTGATTTTGAAAAGGGCTTCCTTGAGCAGCGTTTTCTGCACTGCTCATCATTTCTGCCCACTCTAAACTTATTCCAACCATCAAAACCATGCCAGGACACCTCCTTTTTCTAACCCTAACCCTACCTTGGTGCACAACCCTAACCCTAATATGGGGTTGAAGTTCCATACAAAGAGTGTGATTTTGAAAAGGGCTTCCTTGAGCAGTGTTTTCTGCACTGCTCTTCATTTCTGCCCACTGTACCATCATTCCAACCATCCAAATCATGCCAGGACCCTCGTTCTTCTAAGCCTAACCCTACCATGGTGCACACCCCTAACCCTAATATGGGGTTAAAGTTCCATACAAAGAGCGTGATTTTGTAAAGGGCTTCCTTGAGCAGCATTTTCTGCCCTGCTCATCATTTCTGCCCTTTCCTAAGTCACTGCAAGCATCAAAAGCATGCCAAGACATAAGTTTTTCTAACACCAACCCTACCCTGGTACACACCCCTAACCCTCATATAGTGTGAATGTTCCATACAAAGAGAGTGATTTTGAAAAGACTTCCTTGAGCAGGTGTTTCTGCTCTGGTCATTATTTCTTCCCATTCTATACTTACTGCAATCGTCAAAATCATGGCAGGGCACAGCTTTTTTCTAACCTTAACCCTACCCTGGTGCACACCTCTAATCCTAATATAGGGTGAAAGTTCCATACAAAAGAGGGTGATTTTGAAAAGGACTTCCTTGAGCATCTTTTTCTGCACTGCTTATCATTTCTGCCCACTCTAAACTCATTCCAACCATCAAAACCATTCCAGGACACCTCATTTTTCTAACCCTAACCTACACTGGTCCGCACCCCTAACCCTAATATAGGGTGAAAGTTCTATACAAAGAGGATGATTTTTAAAAGGACTTCCTTGAACAGCGTTTTTTGCACTGCTCATCATTTCTGCATATTATAAATGCATTCCAACCATCAAATCTGTCGTGATGTCGTAACTCACGTTCCCAAGTACTCTCACAGAGATTGGCAATAAAAACTAAAGACCTTTATGCCAAACGACTACAAGATGTATGTTTACGAGCGGTAATGTAGAAGCTAATGCAGTTGCCCCCTCCTTTCTGACCTCTTAGAGTCGTCTTGTGGACCTTAATCTCCTAACACGTCCTTCTCTATGGGGGCCAAACAAACTTCTTTCTCTCCTTCTCTCTTGCAATTGGTGTAAGCGTCGAATTCTCCTCCTCAGTTGGGCATTCCCCATGGCAACTGACTCATCTTCTCAATTTCCGGGAACTCCCTCAAAAACTTGAGTGTCAGGTGGCGGAGGGCAGGCTGTTTGTGCCTTGCGCACCAAGTATAAATCTCCCTGCTCTAAAGCCTGATCCTCGCTGGGGGCTTCTGGCCCTCTTTCGCGTGCTAACACCTCCCCAGAGTCATTAGGCATGACAAAATCATGTCACAAAACATTGTTTTTCTAACCCTAACCCTTCCCTAGTACACACCCCTAACCCTAATATAAGACTAAAGTTCCATTCAAGAGGGCGATTTTGAAAAGGACTTCCTTGAGTAGCTTTTTCTGCACTGTTCATCCATTCTGTCCATTCTAAACAGATTCCAACCATCAGAATCATGCCAGGACACCTTGTTTTTCGAACCCTAATCCTACCCTGGTGCACACCCCTAACCCTAATATAGGACTAAAATACCTTTGAACAGAGCGCGATTCTGAAAAAGCCTTCGTTGAGTACCTTTTTCTGCACTGCTCATCATTTATGCCCATTCTAAACACAATAAAACCTTAAAATTGATGTTTTAATTTAGAAAAAACACCTCACACCCAGTCCAACCTAACATATATATATCCTTGGCAGCGCACTGGCTGACCATGTAAAATCTCAGATGAGTTGCGGCTAATTAGTCACACCTTGTGACATCATCACCTCGCACCGCTACCCCTTTCCAAGCATGCGCATGGCCCCTATGTGCACTGTTATTCTATCATCAGCTGCTGGGATGATACTGGGGTGACGTGGCTTGCTTTCCAACATCGAGGGCTCTGCGTGCCCACTGTGGCACTCGTGCCTTATGTTCGCCACCACTGATCTATTGATTTGTCTTAAAAACAGATCTCTTATAGTTACGTCAACTAAACATTATCAGTGTATGAGCCTTAAGATACAATTCTAACAATCTTAGCTTTAATTTTAATTTACCTTTCTTTCCCCATTGTTGAGATAAATTTGCAATAAGATGGAATTGTGACAAAAGCCAACCCACATGTCTATAAAACCCTATGCAAATCATAACAGTAAAGCCAGGTATACTCAAATAGGTTAATATGTAGAGCATATAGCTGAAATACTGACCCAAAAATAAGCATTAAGTATTCAGGTTGTTGATCAAATTAGTAGATTGTCATTTTCTGGAAAATATCCCAACCACTTATTTCAACAAATTCTGAATTAACAGAAAACATGAGGTGGATATTGAACATAAGTATGTTCAAAGGCTGGCGATAGTGCAAAGAGTAGGCAGTGCCCAAGACATCACTAATGACAAGAGACAAAACTTCCATCCCTTATTTTATTTTGTGACCTTTCAAAATGCCACCTTTATTATTGTTCTTAGTTGCATTCTTTAAAAAGAAAAAATGGTAAAGAATAACAAGACTAGCTACTCCCCCCACAACAATATCCTGCCAATTAATTAATTTTTTTATTTTTTTTATTAAAACATTTAACATGTTTTACAAAGGATGTGAACTTTCAACCTCACAACCTAAACAGTGTTTTCTCTCCAATGTATAATTTTGTTAAATTTATTCCTGAATTGCTGAATATTCCTGCCAAAGCAGAGACAGAGAGTATGTTTGGGCAGCAGGGCCAGATGAACTACCTATGTACTTCATTCAGCCCTCCACAAGATACATGTCAGGGCTTCAGGCCATATCACTGACATCCGAGGGCAGGGTCATGACCTCTGATACCACTCATTTCCCAGCAGAAGCACCAACTAGCTCCTCCAATCAGAGCTTCAGCTGGTTTGCTATGCTTGAGTTTCCGTGGCCAGGAAAAAGCCCCCATGCAACAAAGTCAAGTCTTTGGCTAAGGTGATGGCTGCAGAAGCTCTCCTCCAGCTTATGACTTGGTTGGACTGGCTTCAGCTGCCCTGCACTTTCCTCCATTGGGGTAAATGTAGAGCAGGCGAGGGGAATCCCTTCTGTTCACTGATTATTGATCAGCACAGCACAGACTCCCACCCCTGCTAGGCTTCAAGGGCTGAGGCTTTGGGAGAGGGAGGTGTTTTTGTGAAGCTTCACCTGAAGCCATGCAGGCCAGAGATTCCTCACCCCTGAGCAAAGGGAATGTTTGCATCAGCTCATTTTCATACAATCTGAACATAGCACATCAAGATAATGCAGTCTGGACCTCATTCCAGCGACTAGTTAGCATTTTGTTTTGTGGGAAATTGGTTCCTCATTAACTCATTAAACTTCTTAGTAACTTTCGCAGAAGTATTAACCTTTGTCCAATTTACTCAAGCAGTTTATATGCTAGGTTTTATTATAGCCACTGCTCCATTCTTCCTGCTTAATTGCCAGCTTAAATGTTTATTTTTTAAAATAAAAACATGCATTGTGGATATGTTGCTAATTTCTTCCATTTTTCTTCAATACATGTTTAAGGAGGAGGCAGAAGTTGTTTCTGACCTTGCACACTTCTGGATCCCTCACAGTCCTAGAGATGTGCAAAGATCTTCTCCTGTTGCTTTCTTGCATAACAGTGGATTATTGGTGCAGGGATACTTTGTTGTAATTGTGCAAATGTAATGTTGTTGTTGATATTTTTAAATCACAAGCCCAAGAAGAAAAGGTGTATATGAACTACAACAGTTATGGATAAACTATGAAAAATAACAACCAATTGGTGTTACTGCAGAATACCCCAAAACATGAGTTCAGTAGCGCTATAACTTAGCAACACTCACCAGAGAGAAAATTTACAAAAAATATCCCAACTGTTGTTTTGTATTACACCCGGAAACATTTCTAGTTGGCAATCTCTTCCAATAAAAGCACTCACACATTCTGATTTGCCTCTTACCGGAACACGTTCCTTGTGGTTCACTAGATGGCTTAGAGTGTATTTCTGATGTAACTCATTCCTTTCCTTTCTTGACTGCAACTTTTTCTTTTTCTTCTTCTTTTTCTCATCATAATCCTCCAGAGATAAATAAATAAAAACATGTTGAAAGTGTTCCCTTTTACCGTCCAAATACAGCCACACAAAGTCCCTTTCTACTTCTTTCAACATCTAAGGTGTCCTAGATTCCATACTGATATAGTAATTTTGGTCAGCTACCTCCAACTTGCTGCCTTTCAGATGTTTTGGACTAGCTCTCAATATTCCAAAGCACTGCTCACACTGGCTGGGGCTGATGGGGATTGAAGCTCAAAATCTGGAGCATTCCAGTTTGGGGAAACTTAATAAGGTACTACTGAAATTGTTCTGTGGCACTTATGCTGTACTCCAGTTTACAATTAACTTGGAGTAAGGCCCACAAAACACAGTGGGCCTTACTGTCAGCATGCATATAACCATATTGTGCTATTTTACTGTTATGTTTTTACTGTTCAGTCCCTAAATTCACTGACAGATTTCTTGGCTAGCACTATCCCAATTGGTAGTTTTGGTATGCTAGCCCCAAAAGAAGCCACTAGAATAGACTTCTTAGGACTTGAAACTGTGGTCAGTTTTTGAACCAAAGAAATCCTATTATTTCACTTATTTGTTGTTGACAATTCAGAGATCTTAATCCAAAACAGTAATTCTGCCACTGCCTCTCCTTAGCGCTGAAATCACAATATATTTTCGGCAGGAAAATGTAAGTTTTCCCTCAAGTAAGGTCACAAATGTGGAAACAACTTGCATGTATGTTAGGAGCATATAACAGATATCACTATATGGTACCATATATGTATAGTAAAAACTATCCTGTGCTATGTTATTTTTAATTTTAAGAAGCTGAGCAGTCCTTGCAATATCACTGAAGCACAAGAGTGTTCAAAACTGGCAAAGATTTCCTCATAGCAGCAGTTCATAGTTATGTTAAAAATCTCTTTTTAAATGAAGTTTTACCAAAAGATTTTTTCTAGCAGGTGTGAATACACAATGCATGAACTTGAATACTTGTATTAACAAACTTTACAAAGGAAACCCATACTTGCATAACTTATGTCAACAGCATATCTCCTCCTGCTGTTGCTTTGTTGTTGATGTTGTTATGTGCCATCCAGTTGTCTCTGACTTACAGTGACACTATGAATTAATGCACTCAAAAATGTCCTCTCCGTCACAGCCTTTTTCATTTCTTATAAACTCAAAAGCTGTGGCTTTCTTTATGCAGTCAATCCATCTAATATTTGGTCTTTTTCTTCTTCTGACTTCAACTTTCCCTTGCATGATTGCCTTCTCCAGTGAGTCTTGCATCCTCATGATACACCCAAAGTATGATAGTTTCAGTTCTGTCATTTTTCTTCCAGAGAAAGTTCTGTCATGATTTGATCTAGGACCTCCAGCACCTTGTTTCAAATGCATCAGTTTTCTTCCTGTCAGCTCTCTCACTGTCCAGCTTTCACACCCATACACAGTGATAAAGAATACAATAAAGTAGATGATCCTGCCCTTGGTCTCCACTGAAACATCATTACACTTGATAATCTTTTCTAATTACTTCATTGTTGCCCTTCCAAATCTCTCTTTTACTTCTTGCCAGCATTTTCCCTTTGAATTGGTGTCTAAGCCAGGTGTGAAAAATCTTTCACAATTTCAATTTCTTCACTGTTGATATTTTTTGCCATTATTTTGCATGCATGGCTTTTGTTTTCTTAATGTCCAATGGCAATCTTGCTTTTACATTTTCTTCTTTCAGTTTCATCAGAAGTCTTTTCAATTCACTGCTGCTTTCTGTGACTTATATGTTATCATCTGCATATCTTAAATTATTGATCTTCCACCATTTTTCATTCCTTTTGCTGCTCCTAATCCAGCTTTCCTTATGATATGTTGTATGTACAGGCTGAACAGATAGGGAGATAAAATACACCTTTGTCTGATCCCTTTGCCTATAGAAAGCTGTTTCTCCAAATTCTGTCCCAACAAAAGCTTCTTCTCCACAATTTAGGTTATGCATCAGGACAATCAAGTGCTGAGGTGAACACTCAAGATCAGGGGTTGGCAACCTTTAATACTCAAAGAGCCATTTGGACCCATTTCCCACAGAAAAGAAAACACCGAGAGCCACAAAACCCTTTTGACATCTAAAATGAAGATAACACTGCATATATCATTTTTTTACCTTTATGCTATGTATAAAAAAACTATAGTGTGTTGCATTTATGAAATCAATGAACTGCTACAGAGAAAACAAATTTTATTTCTGCATGCAACAAAAACATTTTGAACTCCTAAAAAAACAAGGAAGTAGATCTATATCTTCATTAATATTTAGCTGCAGCTCTTGTTCAGTCACTAAAAACTGCTATCTTTAATCTTACATTATAAACTAGCCGACTCCTTTCATATATTTTGAATAGGAGAACAGTTTTCTGCAGAGTCAAAGTCCGTGCTAAAGGGCTGCATGCATTAAACAGCAAACCCCATAAGTTCGTCAGCAGTAAAAGCAAATGAATCTACCCACGTACCATTAAAACGTTGGGTTTTCTTCAGAAACTTTTCTTCAATTTATCCATGGTTGGCCTACGGGGGCGGGGGGGGGAGCAGGTTGCTTATCTGTAACTGATGTTCTTCGAGTGGCTACCTGTGCAGTCACACATATGTGCTGCGCCTGCGCAGTGCCTTTGGCCGGAAGATTACAAGCTAACGGTTTATTCTGGCGGGGGAAAGCTCCACTCCCCCTCCCCCACAGCATATAAAGAGCGGAGCGTCCACCATTTTGTTCAGTCTTTGACGACCGAACGGACACCCCCATGTGGAAAAAATTATTTCTAAAATGAGTTCTACCATGAACAGTATCAGTACCAAGAAAACAATGAATAATATCGGTACCGAGAAACAATGATAACATTCAATAACAACAAAGGGCCACTCACTGACACCGAGCGGGGTTGGCGGGTGGGTTGTGTGACTGCACAGATGACCACTCGAAGAACATCAGTTACAGGAAAGCAACCTGCTTTTCTTCGTCGTGGCATCTGTGCATCACACATATGGGTAGATTAACAAGCTTACCATAATGGAGGAGGGAAGGTGTCCTCAACGAAGAATAGATGAAAGAACGGCTCTGCCAAAGGAACAATCTTGTTGAGCATGGACGTCTGAGCGGTAATGTTTGGCGAAAGTGCAAGGATTCGCCCAAGTAGCAGCTCTACATACATCGTTAATCGGTATTCCTGATGCAAAGGCCGATGAGGCAGCCACAGCCCTAGTCGAATGGCCTGGAGGGGTTGTGGGCAAGTTGATATTGGCCAGTTGGTAAGACAAGGTGATGGTATGAACTATCCACTTAGAAAGTCTCTGCGGAGTGACAGGGGTGCCTTGGCCCCTGGTAGCATATTTAATGAAAAGTCTATGTGAACGTCGGATAGACTCAGTCCTGGATCTGGAGAATGCTAAACAGCGCCGAACATCAAATGACTATAGTGACCTTTCTAACGGAGTAGACGGAGCCAGGAAAAAGGCAGGTAAAATAATATCTTGCCCCATGTGAAAGGGTGTGGATACCTTAGGCAGAAAAGATGGATCGAGCCGCAGGACAACCTTTTCTCTATGAAAATTGAGATAAGGTGGGTCTACGCGCAGAGCGCAGAGCTCGCTGGCCCTCCGGGCTGAGGTAACTGCAACTAGGAATGCTGTTTTCCATGAGACAAAACGTAAATCGACTGTTGCCAATGGTTCGAAAGGAGCTCTCGTAAGCGCCTGCAGAACAACAGAGAGACTCCAGGTGGGCATTATTGGTTTGATCGACGGGTTCAGATTATAAAGTCCCTTCAGAAACCTTTTAATAGTAGGTTGGGAGAAAATGGATGAGCCGTCCACCATACCCCGATGATAGGCGATGGCCGCCGTATATACTTTAATTGAAGATGGTTTCAGTCCAGAGTGGTGTAGTTCCAGGAGGAACTGAAGAATTTGACGTATTGATGATGTAAATGGAGAGAATGAACGAGAGTCAGCAAAGGTGGAGAAATGCTTCCATTTAGTTTTGTAAGACTTCTGTGTAGAACGCTTTAAGGCGGAGTCCAATATACACTGAATGTTCAGATGAAAGGTTGTTGGATTCAATGGCACAGTAGTCGGATCCGACAGTGCTGGGGCAGTGCCGTCCCCAGCGGATTTGGAGCTTGCAACTGTAGTGGGTTCGAAAGTAGGATTCGAACCATTTGAAGTAGTCATCGGTGTAGATGTAACAAGGACAGTAGCGAATTCAAAGGTCGGATTCGAACCACTTGAAGTAGCGGTTGGTATAGACGTAACAAAGTTAGCTATCGGATTCGCCGTGCTGTTAGTTTCAATGATAATATATCTGGGTGGCGAAGTGCGCCGTCTCTCTGGGTTATCAAGAACAGGAGCGGTGGAAGATGTAGGTATTCCCCGTGAGAAATGTCCAGCAGTGTGGGAAACCAAGGTTGGTGTGGCCACCAAGGAGTAATTAGTATCCCTGTGGCCCGATCGCAAGCAATCTTCGCTATGACTCTCATCACCAGCGGAATTGGTGGGAAGGCGTAGAAATTCAGGTTGTTCCATGGAATCATGAAGGTGTCCCCTAGGGATTCGTGCCCAATTCCCACTCTCGAACAGAAAGTCGCACACACCTTGTTCTGTTGTGTGGCTAACAAGACCACGTCGGGGAACCCCAGCAATGGAAAAGGTCGTCACGTGTCTGGGGGTCCAGTTCCTATTCGTGAGAAGGTCTGCTTCCACGTTGTCCGTACCGGCCAGATGGACTGCTATTATCGTAATATCTCTCGAAATGCACCAGTCCCAGATCTGCATAGAAAGTCTGGCCAGGGTTGGAGACTTCGTCCCACCTTGCTTGTTCAGATAAAAAACGGTGGCTATGTTGTCCGACGTTATCTGAACAACCCGACGTTGAAGAACATCTTCGAAAGAGCGTAGGGCTTTGAATACGGCCAACAATTCCAGGAAGTTGATATGATTCGTGGATTCTTGATGGGTCCACGTGCCCTGAGTATACAGGC